CTTAAAAACTAAACAATGGTTAAAAAATAAAGACAAAAAAACTCTCAAACCGATACATTTCATTCATCCCTCTCATATTCAATTTAATTTAAAGGATGAGAGAAATAAACCTCTAGTTAAATAAAAAAATTTGATCAAACTTGCTAGTTAATACAGTACATGAACCGTGAGGCGGGTGGGAAAAAGAAATAAACGAAGTTAGAAAAAAAAAAGAAGAAATGGCAATGCCTCGCCACTTGCCAAAAGCCAGCGAAAGAGCAGAACTCTCAATTCTCATGGGTTCTCTCCTCTTCTCAATCTCACAAAAAATAATAATCCCATCAATCTCTATCCAAATCCAAAGGAAATTAAAAATAATAATAAAAAAAAACTTAAAAGATGAAAATTATAACCTCGCCATCGGAGAGGAAGCGGCAACGACAACGATGACAACAATGGGCGACGAACTTTGCAGTAGAGAGAAGAGAATCTTTTCCCCTTAGGACTTTTAAAAAAAAAAACGTTGGGATGGGTCTACTTCTACCAACGCTTTTTAAAAAACATTGGGAGAGGTAAACCCATCCAGACTCCTTTTAAAAAGTAGAGAGAGAATTGATAATAAAGGGTGCGAACACAATTTTCGCTCGAAGTGTTTTGGAAAATGTTTGGAGGGGAAGTTTAATTCTCCCAACGTTTTTTAAAAAGCATTGGGAGAAGAAGACCCGTTCGACGCTTTTTTAAAAATGTAGAGGGATGTTTCACAATTTGGCGTGTGAGCCCAATTTTCTCCCGACGTTTGTTAAAACCCGTCGGGATAAGTCTCTTCCAGCGTTTTTAAACATCGGGATAAAATTGGGTTAGCCCGCTAAATTTCTAAACTTCTCTTGACTTTTTATAAAAAGTGCCGGGATAGTGTTTTTTTTCTTGAAATTTTGTAAAAGAATGTCGGAAAAAGTAGACACCCGTGAACTATGTACCTCCCGACCATTTCTTTCTCGTCAAGCAAGAAAACGTCCACAAAGCCACCAATTCTTGTAGTGCTTCATATGCAAGTTTAGAGAAACAACGTATAATTTCTATCAACCATTTAGAAGTTTGAAGACTGAGATCTAAATTATATTCCATGAAAGTTTGAAATCCACCAATTTAATAAATTATCTACAAAAATGGTATAATTGAAAATTTCAATATACCTTATTGTTTGGGGATGAAAATACTCTGGACACGTGGAAGACCCCTATTGGTACTCCAAGATGGCCCACGAGTCATGCCCAGCTCGGATAGCCGAGATGGCTGCCACCAACGCCGACGAAAGCTTAAGCTTGAGGGCCGAGGTGAACCTGGCCCAGGTCTGACCTACCGGGAGCTCGGTAGAGGCCGACGTGAGCAATTGTCCACGGCGTGATTATCGGGCGTAACCGTCAGTCTCGAGATCACCGGGTGTAACCGATGGTCCCTAGATTACCGAGTGTAACCGTCGCGAGATTAGCGGGACCATCACCCATAAGTAGAGGACCTCACTCCCCGGTCAGGTACGAGGATTTCTGGCTTCGAACTAAACTTGGAATCCGACCTATACTGACTTGATCGTCGGAGTGCTCACCTTTTTGTGCAGGTCCGCCCAAAGGTTCAGGTCGGTACGGAGGCCGAGTTCGAGCTACAGTCAGGAACACACTGTTGTGCACATCTTTGCATAAACACTTATAATTAAAAAGATTCAAATAATGATAATTTTGTATCTATTTATAGTAATTTTGTAAGTTTAATCTTATATTTGAATGCCAATATGAGCTTAGCTCAACGATAATTGACACATTTTTCTGATCGAGAAGTCATGAGTTCAAATCTCTTGCCCCCATTTGTTACACTAAAAAAAATAAAACTTATTTTTTAACCTATGAAAATTAGTTCAAAAATCATCCCTAAATAATAAATTAGGCCAATCAACCTTTCAATGATTAACTTTAAGCTATGACCACTAAACCCTAAATATCTTTCTTAAATATCACTCTACTAATGAAGGAAACAACAACAAATTAATATCAACATAGGTAAAATTGAAAATTTAAGCCCCTTTTATAATTATTTTGGTTCTTTTTTGTTTATTTTTCTCTAGAAATTTGTCTTAAAATTAAGTCAAAACTATGTCAAACAAAATTGAGAGAGTGGTTATCAAACTTTGGAAGATCATGGGAAATTTTTATATTTATATTTATTATTACTATTTTTGGAAGTGTGAGATATGTAGATTAAACTTAAGTCATTTTGTAAGAAACTAGATTCATGTATGATTTCCAATTTGGTATAAAGTAAGGAGATGTTTCACGTGTGATAGAGGGAACTTTAAGATAATTTATAGCCACAGTCCATTATTTCAAATCAAGCTGGAATAGCTCAGTTGGTTAGAGCGTGTGGCTGTTAACCACAAGGTCGGAGGTTCAAGCCCTCCTTCTAGCGTTTTATTTTAATAAATGCCACTACTATTCTTCGAAGAACACACACATCCGTCCCCATCGAATCGGCCGGACCCAAAATACAGTTTTTTTTTCCCGACAAAGAGAGGCTTGAGAATGGAACCAACGCGTGTTGCGGTCCACCCACCGCAACCACTATATAGGGCTCAGCAGCAAAAAGAGAGTTCAACTGTGGGTTGGAAAGGGAGATTGGCTATAGCATCTTGGATCTAAGCTGTTGCATCTAATTTTAGTTGTATAACCCGACTTTAGCACGACCCAACGCCCACAAATTCTGAATACAGTTACGAGTACGTTACGCAATATCAGGCGAATCTGATGCTACTATAGACATTGCCCAACCACGAGCCACCACCAAGACACAGTCTGTAATATCCCAAGCTTTCAGGATATTTTATTTTAAGGTTTAAATTATACTTTTGGATTTCTACATTTTTGGATAAATTAAATTCTTTGAGCTTTTTTTTCTTTTAAAATTCTAATTTTTGGTAAATTAGAATTTAAGTTTAATTTCGTTAGAATAAGATAAATTAAGTTTTTGAATTATGGAAAGAGATTTTAAATTAAATCTTAATTTAAACTTTTGGAAATTTAATTTTCCGTTTTGGATTTTATTCTTGGGGTTTAAATTGAGTTAATCTATCTTTTAATATTTTTCCAAATCTATTTTAAAATTGGTTTTTCATTTGTTAAAAAAAATAATATTTTCCTTCTCTATCTATGAGACCAAAATCTCTTTGGTGACATCATGTTTCTTTTTGGTAAAAAGAAAAGAAAAGGAAGAACAAAAAGGAAAATAAAAAGAAAGCAAACCCTAGTTTTCCTTCTTCATCTTCTCTTTTGTTCTAGCTGCCACTCTCACCCCTCTTCTTCTTCTCCCTCCGTCGTTGCCTCAGACAACAACAACGTTCCGTAGTAGTAGCAACGCGGTCTCCTCCCTGCAGTTTCTCCCCAATGGCGCGATGCTTCTGGTGGTCTTCGACAGCAGCAGCAGCACGAGTCAACGTTTCGCGATCTACGCCGCCATTCCACTGTAGCCCAAGTCAGATCTATGGTGCTGCTCCTCTTTCAGTAATAAGTCTCTGGTGACGCTCCACCCTCGCGATCGGTTCTACTGCAGTCGCAAACTCACGACAACTAGAAACCATCGCGGCCTTTTCCGACGTCGTTTTGTAGTGACCCTCAACGTTACCACGTCGGCGACCATGAACAACTCATATTCGGTGTCTCTACACCCGATCTGTGTTGCGCAGTCCTGACATGTGATGATTTATCCGTTCCAATGACTTTCGACATTTACCCACACCCAATCGAAGCTTGATTCATGATACCTACCCACTTCAGCATTGATTTGGCACTGGCCCACCCTTATTGGGATCCAAATCAGTGTTACCGATCGCCTTTCAGTGTAGGACCAGCAAGTTGGAGCCTTTCCATTCTTATTTTTGTGGTATCAGACTCCTTCGATATCGATCCACTCTTAATCCAAGTTGTTTTGGCCTAAGTTTATAGGTAACGACTCACCTAAATTGAATTTCGATTTGATTAAAGTGATTTCTAACCAAGGCTTGGTCACTTTTGGTTTATGACCCTTTTGGTGAAGCTTAGGAGCGTTAGGACTTATTTGTAAGTAATTCTTCTTGAGGGGATTGTTTGTTGTATGTTGCTATGAACTGATTGTTTGCTTGTGTGCTTATGAGTGTTGTTGCATGATTGTTTGCAGTTGGTTTTACTTTATACATATTGCTATTGATATATTGTGAGTTGGTTGTGTCCTGACTATTGTGAAAACAGTGGGTGTGTTGGATGTGTTTTTGGATCATTGTTAGTTATATTCTTGTATAGTTGTGTTCATAAAAACATACTAAAATGATTGTGAAAATTGTTCTATTATGAAAGCATATTAGACATATCATTTAGTTGATAGCATGTTTGTTAATTTTTTTGCAAACATGCTGTATTATTTGTGAGCTGAATGCTGCATAGGTCATGGCTTAGAAAGCATGTAATAGGGCTCTTGTGAGAGTTTGGTTATGTTATGAAGTGAATGAGTAAGTATCAAGGCCAAAGGACTGATATGTCACTAATTGGGTATCGAGGCTTTGGGTAAATGGTTGGGGGTCGATGCGCCAAACTTTGGAAAAAGATGAGTATCAATGCTTTAGGTAAATGGTTGAGAGTTGATTCGATGAGTCTTAAAGGAAGGTAAGTATTAGGGCCTTGAGATGAAAGGAAAAGGGCCAATATGTTGCAAAGTCGTTGATGTCTTAGCTATGCTTGGTAGGGGTTGGTGCAACAGTTCAAGAACTACATAGAAGTAGCGGTGTAAATATTCCGGTTCGGTTCGGTTTTTGGGTAGGGAGTGGAAAACCAAAATCGGTTCGGGTCAACAGAGACGAATACCGAACCAAACCGACATGAGCCGATTCGGTTTAGACCGTTTTTTTCTTAATTCCTTACTTACAAGCCACTATCTCTTCTATTAAGTAAAAAAGAATTATGGATTTGTGATCGCCTCAACTTTTGCATTGAGAGGTGAAAGTGAACGTTCTCATGTACTTTTGAAGCTTAAAAGTAATGCCTAGAAATTCCAAGTATCATTTTAACTAATCAAACATTCCAATATTGACATTTACAAAATTCTAACAAAAAATACTAAATCTTTTCAAGTCAACTGTCATTGGCTGAATCTTGATTTCCATCATCAAGACTCCAATTCCTCCACTAGACTTCAAAACTCCACAAAAGAAACAAGAATTATTAATTAATATTTTACATAAAATAAAATCATAGACAACTCATAGATAGTTTTAATATCATTTCGATACGTCATGTAAATGAAATAGAGATGAACCATATTTTTAGAAACGATATTTTTAGAGTAGAAGTTAGAACCACAAAATTAAATTTCGAGTTTTCAAAGGCAGCTTCCATCTCCTTACGTATGCTTGAGTATTCTAAATAAGAAACAAAAACAATTAGTTCATCAAGATTTATAATACCATAAACAAATTTTCAAATAAGTATTATAATGACATTACTTCTTACCTTCGTCAATTTCTTCTGCTCCATCAATTTCTTCACTCATATCATCTAGAGGTTTTGATTGAAGCCAATTTTGTGCACAAATGAGTGCATCTGTAGTTTGAGGAGTTAATGAACTCCTAAAAGAATCTAACACCCGTCCTCCAGTACTAAAAGCTGACTCGGATGGAACAGTAGATATAGGAATGTTGTAGATATCCCTAGCTACTTGGCTAATAATCTTGTATCGACTAGAATTTATCTTCCACCAGTTTAATAAATCAAAATCATCATCTTCAGCACAAGCCTCATCTAGATAACGAGTCACCTCTGTTTTTCCATCATCTGAATCTTTTTTCTTACTTTGTTTATATATATCATGAACAACAGCACGTACCTTATAAATTCCAATTTCACCGAATGCACTAGAAGAGATAGATGGTATTTCACTTTGACAAGTCGATACCTCTATGGGTGTGGATGATTGTGTTTGAGAGAGGTGTTCCTTTGGCATTGACATTCTTGTATACACAATCGACGTAATGCTGCTTCAACCTTATTCGTCCACAAAATTGCATTTTCATGCTCCAAAAATTCATGAAAGCAATAACTCACGTAATTTAACTTATACCTAGGGTCAAGAACAACTACAACATATGACAATAAGTTCATCTTCTCACTTGTAGTTACACCCCAGTACTTGTTAAATTTTTCTTGCACGCTTGATGTCATTTTACTCAACAAGTCATTTTCATACAAAGAGTATTCACGAATTGTTTCCTGAACCAAACACATTTCATGAAAAAATATGTTCGAAGTCACAGACATTGATGCAGAAAATTTTAGGGTAACATTTAAAAATATTTTCAAGAACCCTACAAATACTCTAGCATTATCCCAATCTTCATTAGTAGGTGTGTCACCTTCTGCAATGTAATTTGAGTCATGATCCTTTAATCTTTCGAGAGTCTTTTGGAACTTAATTGCTCCATCTAACATAGCGAATGTTGAATTCCATCGTGTTGGGACATCCATAGTCAGACAACTTTTTGTTGAAATGTTATATTCTTTAGCAAAGTCTTTAAATATTTGCAATCTTGATGGAGATGACCTAACATACTTTACAACATTTCTAATACGAATGATATAAAGATGTAAATCTTTTAAAGCATCACCGATGATCAAATTCAGGATATGAGCACAACACCTAACATGGAGAAATTCACCATCTAATACCAATGTGTTTCTTTCCTTTAGCTTTCTAATCAAATAAGTCATTGCTCCATCATTTGAGTTAGCATTATCAATAGTCACAGTAAAAATTTTGTCAATGTCCCAACTTTGCAAGCATTTTTCAATTGCTCTTCCTATTGTATCTCCTTTGTGATTAGCTATTTGACAAAAGTTTTAATTTTTTTTGTGTAAATTCCAATCACCATCAATGAAATGAGTTGTTATAACCATATAGTTGATATTTTGACTTGAAGTCCAAGTATCAGTCGTTAAACAAACTCGTTGACCACTTCTACTTAGAGCACTTTTCAACTTCTTTTTTTCAATCATGTACAGTTGAAAATAATCCTTTGCAACAGTTATTCGGGATGGAATTACAAATTTAGGATTCAATGCCTAGCAAAATTTATGAAATCCTTCGCTTTTCAACAATCTTAAAAGGCAATTCATCCAATATGACCGTACAAGCAAGCATCGTTCTACAATTCTTTTGAGTAAACGATGTAGCTACCAAATTAGTCTCAGAATCCCCTCCTCCTTCAACATAATCCTCGATATATTTCTTACATTTCTCTGGGTGCTTTTTCAAATTTGTTGTCCCATTTCTTTTAGAATCACATGCATATGTAGTCCCACAATATTTATAAGCAGCCCTAGGAAATTCAAGATTGCATCCCTCTACCCTAACAAAATGTTCCCATACATCTAAACCTTTAGAGCGTTTTCTTTTACCATGCAATCTTGCTCTACTACTGGCAGCAAGGTTAGAGTTGTCAAGTTCAACTAGTGGAACACTTTGACTAGAATGACTTAGTTTTAGAAAACTCAGATGAAGTCATCTTGTGAATTAATAAGATAAAATTAGACCTTTTAAAAAACACAAATAAAAAAGTTCAAGAAACTCAACTAAAAAACTAAGAACATAATCATTAACTCATTAAACTCAGAAAATGCACATCAGTAATGGAATCATTAAGCTCAAACTAAAAACAAAATCATTAGTTCTCTACGTTTCCTCAAGAAAATGCACATCAACATCATCGAATCTCATCGAGTAAACATCCAAAGTAAATGAAACATCAAAATAAACAAGTTCGAAGCAAAAGCAATGAAATGTTAGAAATTGGAATCTAACCCATTGCTTCAAGGCTAGATATAGACTTTTTAGAAAAATTGATTTGCTTTCAAAGGTCTACTTTCTCCCAACCTTCCACCAGATAATTATAAAACAGAAACCAAAGAATCAAGATCTTTGGTGCTCAAGCTTCCTTCCCTGCTTTATGATTCAATTTCTTGTAGCAATTTGCAATAACTAGAATGAAATGGTAATTGTTACACATTGATACACATTGATACACATTACTAACAAGAAATGGTGTTAGAGTGGGGGTGGGACACCATTTGGTTACACCCACATCCAAATCTTCAAAAGTTATGTATACATGAATACAGATGAGTGAAGTTATGTAATTGGGTATCATAAACTTGAACTGCACAAAAAAACACTCAACAAGAGAACATAGCATAATCGGCCCAAACAAAGAAGTAAAAGACATAAATCCTAAACTTCAAGCCCAAACAACAATGTCCATTAAAACCAGATCAACAGAGTGTGGCCAAGCATCATAGATCTGTGGAAGAAATCAGGAACATAGAAAGACCCATTTCATCCAGAAACTCATATTCATAATGAACGAAACAACCTCCAAAATTTAGTAAAAAGAGCATTACGCGCAAACCCATCTCCAGAAATCGAAGTTTAGAGAAACAATCAGTACATTGCCATGGAAACAAGATCAGAGAGAGAGAAGTGAAAATGCCTATTTCATCAAAAAAGCAATAAATCAGCAAAAACCCAACATCAGCCTCTAATGGCTGATTTTTACCTAAATCAGAGGGAAGTTGATGGGTTTTTGAAGAGTTTGGGATTTGAGGTTTTGATAGAAGAAATGCAAGAACAGGAGAAGAACATGGGTTTGTATACAAGACCTACCACGGATGAAGAGCTTCGACGAGGTGAGAGTTGAATCGAGACGAAGGGTCATTCACAGAGAACGTCGCCGCTGCTGGACATGGTCGCTGCTGCCGGAGATGGTC